TAAAACTCCTTCTCAAAAACATCAGTTTTCGTCAAAACTATGAAAATTGAGATAAGTATATAGAAAGATAGCTCGATGTCTGAACTTTCATAAATGACAAAGTGTTTTAATATTGCACCTCGTTTTTTTCATATATATTAATGAAGAAATCGAAAAATCCTGTTCTGTTAAGTTGGAGAGCTAAATTTTGCTTTCATTTCAACGCCAAGCCCAGCTTTCTAGCGTTAAAAATGGCGGAGAAATCTGGCATGCACGGAAACGTAAAAATTAAAACTCTTATTTTGAGAAAAAAACCAAACATTTTTAGAAAAAAAACATTATTTTTCTCGATGGAAACGTCAGAAAAGTCTATGTAGTCCTCTTACATCTCAACATAAAATCAATCAACTATAGTGCATTTGAAAGCACACACTTTACTCTATATAACGAGCTATAAATCTCAAGATCGATCAATTTGATCAAAATTGAATTCTTTTTTGGGAGGGAAGGGGGCTTGAGCTCAGATAAGAAATTATATCTTAAAAAGTATGAATTCAAAATATTAGGATTTTCTGACATACTTGTGAAAAATATCGAAGGCCTTCATCTTTCAATGTTTCAGATTAAACTATAAAAATTAAAACATACCAACTTTTTCAAATTTTGTCGTTTCTTTGTAAGATTCTTCTTATCTCTGTTCATTGTTTCAAGTTCGATAAGGTCTTAGAAGATTCACAAAAGAGTTCTCTAAAAAAAAGCTACGTCAGCAGTCATTACAATAACCTTTAGTAATCGAGCGTGCTTCCACAAGAAGGAGGATCTATGATTTATCCTAACTATTGTTGCAGCGATTCACTTTCAATCCTCTTGACTCATGGTGTCCGAAAAAAAAATGAATTCAGATTCTGAAGGAGCTCGAAATTTTTCAGCTTTTGAGATATTAGTCACAAGATAGAAAGATGTACATTGAATTTTAGTAAGAATCGGGATTGGCGCACTTTGATAGTCCTCAATGATCATCCTTTTTGGTCATTGATCACTATATAGACTAAGTTTATTACAAATAAAAATATGACTCAATATTCATGGTCAACATCAAAAATTCACTATAGAAATGCTATATAATTGAATGTATGCTTAATAAAGTGGAAAAAAATAAGGTTGAGTAAGAGCAACCTAAATTTATCTCAGATCATATTTTTATATTCGCCTTGATGAACCTATCTACTTCTTGATAAGAAGAAATGAGATGAAGTATTATATGTCATTTCGAATCATCAGATGTGAAACCTTAGAAGAATTTTAAAAAATTTCTTAGATGTTGTTTTCAGGTTAAGAACATTGAAATTTTTCCCACATCAGTTCCGAAACGATAAAAACTTATAGAAGTTGCGCTTATTTTTAGTAATTTTCATTATTATGGTTCATTCCTAGAGAAAAATAAATAGCATATTCGAAATCAGTGTAATAAAACTATATAAAATCAGATATATGTTAGCAAAATATATTTTTTATGAACAACCAGCTCGAGAAGTGTCACAACCAATTTTTTCCTTTAAAAAAATGCTGAGCTGGAATACAGGTGAATTTTACATAAAAAATAAATTTTACCAAAATATATTTGATCCGACGTAGGTTTTTGCATTTGTTTCAAATATTCTATTTACTTTGCTCTCATATTAAGCTAAGATGTGAAAAGCTGCTAAATACAAACAAAATTGTATAGTTTTGCCATTTAGTGTAACAACTGTTGTCTCTACTTAAAGGCCTGTGTAGGTCTTTTCATTTTGTGAGTAATCTCTCAAAAGATGCAAAATTTCAAGTGCTTTCAGCGTATGGAATCATTTTTTTCAGATATCATGAGTCAACCAGGGAAGTGACGAATTGTTGCCACTATAGTTATCATAAAGCATAGAATCTCGGCTTCTTTGTTGAAGCTTGTTCGATTACGAAAAGCTATTGTAAGAACAACTGATATGACTGATTTTCTAGATAATTCATTCCTGCATATTTTGAGATCTTTTCCGATCCACAAGGATGAATGAAAGCAAAGAGCATCTCAAAAACCAGATAAAATATTAAAAAAAATCTGTTTTTCTGAATTTATCTGGTCGAACCCTACACTTAGAGAGTAGGGGTCTTCCGTATTTTTTTATAAATATGTTAAAAAAATCTAATATTTTGGACTCGTATGTTTCACGAAATGATATCTCATTTGAACTAAAAAACAACTCAATTATACAACATTTAGCGAAACTTGATTGAGATAGTGGCCTGACAGACCTTCTCTTAATAGTAAGAAATGGAGTGATATCTGCCGGCGCCGTTTTATCAATATTAAGACTTAAGTAGTGACTTTTAACTTAATATTAAGTTAAGATAAATGATTCACTTCTACAATAGACAATGAACAAGTTCCATAGATTGAGCTATGTAATTTTAACAATAAAATTCTTACTCACAATTCGATGAAATCTTTGTTTTGTTTCTTTTTACGAAAGATATGATGTAAGAAGTGGCGAGTTGTGCAAATAGAAGGTAGAACAAAACCAAATAAAACTCACGTTTTTTTTTGTGAAGAAAAAACAATACAGAGAAAAGAAAAAAGGCTTGTACATCTCGAACGCAACATGTATTCAAAGAGTTACCTGTTGGAAGTAGAATTGCTCAACATTTGACGCACTGAAAGAGCTACTGTTAAGACAGTTGAACTCATTCAATGATTTGAAGAGCATGGCTAATAATAAGACATGCTCTATATCTTTTTTTTTTACAAAAATATTATTGATTTTGTGTTTAATAGAAAAATTCTAATGCGTAGTGGTTTACTTCGGAACCTTTGAATCAAAGAACGATTGTCAAGAAAAGTTTTGAACAATACTCGAAGCAAAATAAATCGAATGGAGTAGAAATAAACAATGATCATCTTCGGTATTGCTCTCAATGAATGAATAGGTAATGAAGATTTTTATATTATTGATAAAAATCGATCGATAAAGTTTCGTTTGGATGATTGATACTGAAATTGAATTTGTTTCACATGTATTGACATATGTAGAAGCTTTTCTATGATATTTTTATATTTTGTGTTTGTTTTTTGCATCTAACCAGAAATTTCCTATTTCGAACAGTAATAATTGTGGATATGATATAGAAATTGCTGTCTAACAGATCAATTATTTTAGAATTTATTTAGAAATTTTCATAATTTCTAATTAACTTACCTTTAATTTTGTGATTAGTTTCTGTCAATTCTGAGAACTTTCCGAACTTCTTGGTAAATTTTTTGTATGTAATTACTCGAAAAATTCTTATGCTTTGTCAAAAACTTAAATCAATTTTGAATTTTAATTATCTATGTGTTACAAATGTGATTCAATCGATTTATATCAAAATAAACTTATTTTAATTCTTTTCATTCAAAGTGGATAAAAAAATCGAAAGTTTTTGCAGAAATCAACATTGATATAGAATGCATAAATTCTTTGTTGAATCTATGAAAATCAAATTTTGAAAACAGAAATTGAAGCAAAAGAACTAAATATTGATATATTTTAACACAGTTATAATTTCAAAATCATGATGAATCTTCATCAAGTTTTGAATATTCTAACACATTCAGTCTCACTGCTAAAGTTTTCAGGATATCCGATTGTGTTTGGTTTCATTTTAGCCTTGTTTCGACACTTTTTACTTTCAATTGTGATCACGATAAAGATCTATGTTTAAGGAACAGAAATATAGATAGTTAATCTTTCTGTATATCTAAGGTGCTTGAGAACTATCCATATGTAATTATTCATTCTTTATCATCACCACGATTTTATCCATACGCTTGAATGAGTCGAAAGAAAAAAGTACAAAATGACTGATAAGGTTTTCAATAAAAGATAGTTTGCATCTTTCTGTCAATATTAGAAGTAACTCAAAATATTTGTGTTCTCCCTGAATCCATAGAAATTCTACAAAAAAAAAACACATATTTGATATAAGAAAGAGTAAGAAATTTTACTCGTCAATCTATATACATGTTCGCGATTGCTCTCGGAACACATAGTTTTTCTTTCATACTCTTGATAGTTCAAAAATTCGATTGATGATCAATTATTTAAAAAGTCTTTCTTTTGTTTTGAAATGCAATTGTTACTCGTGTTAAGACATGACAAATCTAAGCCATTGTTCAATATTAATGATGTAGCCAAAAATTTGGCTTAAATATTTCGCTGTTTACTTTTTTTATGAAGATTTTCCATTGTCGATATATGTGTGTAGTTGAATTATTTAGGTCTTCATTTCAGCCATATCAACTCATACTCACATTTCGATATGTTTGTTTACCTATTGCTATTAAAGGTTAATATTCTGGACATGATTCGATACTCTACTCATTAGAGGAGAGTGAATCCATTGTGTTTGAAATTGTTACTCCACAATGATTATACTAAAAGATTTTTTTGAATGTCAACATCATAGTTACGGTTACTAACTAATATGCATTGTAGTTATGTTTTACTACAACATTTTTTTTTGTTGAATACTTGATGCAAATTCATCTACTGGAAAAAACATAAAGAACACTTCATGTAATTAAAAAAAACGAGCAGTTGCAAATGCTTTATCGACAAGCTGCTTGTAAAACTACAACTATTGGTGGAAAAGTTTGTTCGTAGCACTAATAACATATACTTAAAATCTCAAAGCAATTATGAAAATGACTACTTTTTTGTTGTGATCACATCTAGATAGATTCATTTAACTTTTCTTTCTTAGATTAAATACGTTTTGAACGTTGGTAAAAACAAAAAAATTGCTGCCTAGAAATTCTAGTGATGTTTATATTTCATCTATTGCGATTAGTATATAATTATTGTCGTGAAAAATTCGTGTCATTCAATCTTTTTGATTCTCAATCAACAGATCCAACAATAGTACATCATGAAATTCTCTCAACTCGTCTATTCATTATTCTATTTGGAGTTTCCCTTATTATACTAACTATCTATACATCTTTTCGTCCACAAATGACTATCGAAAAGATTCAATCACCATCTCTGTCTGAATATGAACGACTTCAAAAACAATATTCAGACAATCTTCAATGTCCATGTACATCCATTTCAATACCCTATGCAAAATTCACTACTATTGAGACATCATTTCATCAAGTTTGTTCGAGTAATTTCATTTCACAAGAATGGATTAATTTTCTATTCGAAAATATTGATAAAAATCTATGGCCAATGGATGTAAGAACAAGTATAAGTGCTATGTGGCAATTGATTTCGATACTTTGTCAAAATTCGACAACTTTTCTCATTGATGCATTTCGTGTATTTACAAATTCAGAATTTATAAGTTCGACAATCTTACCCAAAGATCGAATTCAAATTAATACTCAAGCAGCTCTGAATGAAACACAACGAATAGCATTCAATACTTTTTTACTATCACTTACTACTATTCAACAAATTACACAAATGAATGATTTTATGACAGGCACATCAGTAAACTATATCATCAGTACAAACAACCAACCATTCGAATCAATTGAGTCTATTCAAATTATTTCAAATAAATATGTACGAAGAGGATCAACAACGAATTGTTCTTGTTTAACTGAAGAATCATGCCCAATGTCTGGCGGCATATATTTGTATGATGTATGGGATACCAATGGATTTTTCGACCTAAATATTCTAGTCGCTAATGAAACATTGTCTGGTCTTGCTGTTGATTGTTTACCACTTCAAACAACATTTGCTTCATCATTCGATTGTTTCTACAATCAATCATGTCTCGACGTGCTACTTTCGACCTATTCAACTAAGATCGATATTCAAATACTTAATCGATCTTTACCAAGTCGATTTCCATTAACAACACGTATCAAATCAGTCGTTGATGAATTATTCATTGAAAAAATTCTGATTCAAACCTCCTATGATATCTATTTTAATGAATGTAGACCGTTTTACTGTAGTTATACCTATTCACACCGATTCAACTCTATCTATGTGATTACAACGCTGCTTGCTCTATATGGAGGGTTAAACGCGGCATTCTATATCATTACGCCTTACTTAATCGATTTAGTTCTATTTGTGAAGAAAAAGATTTTAAGACAAAGTCTATCTCAACGAGATGAAAGTAAGTTTTCAAATATATCTAATAATGATGAAGTAGACCCCAACGGATTCACAAAAGACTTACCATTTCATTCTTTATGAAGTTATACGTAGAACAGGATCTTGATACTTGAAATATCCTTCTAATGAAATCGAAATCGAAATGATCCAAAAATTTCAAAACAATTAACTTGAAAAGTGTATTTCATCAGTATCAGTTTGAATGTACAGGTGATATCTACATCAAATAGGTCACAATATAGCTTTTGAAATCCTCTATCGAATGACTATAATATGAATTTCGTATGCAAAATATCTTATATCATTTTCCTGAAAATAATCAAAATGCTGAAACTACGGTCAGGAGATGGAGATGAAATGAATCTTAATTTAGTCCTCAAGTATTTAAAAGTAATCTTCTCTAAGTCATTTATTTTAGAAAATTATTTCGTGAATCTTTTGTAGAAACCCACAAAATTTTAGGATATAATGATCGCAAGTCAACTTTAAAATATTAGGAGGTCAATTTCTTCTTTCCCAGCTACGAGTTACATAGACTTTTCAGTCATAATTTCGTAGACATGATCATATTTAAATTAATTGTTGTTGGAGAATTTTTTGAAGATAAAACGAGTCTAATGTATGACAACAAACAACGAAAGAAAATATTGAACAAATCTTTTCATCGAAAGTAGTAGTTATTAAAATAAGTGTTTTTATGCATTAGTTTAACTATTATTCGATAAATAATCCAAAACAAATGAGAGTAAAGCCAGCTTATCTCATTAGCAAAGGATAGCATTCCTGACAATGGAGTTCTAAAAATATTGTATCCATTATTAGTTCAAAAATATGGGTAATCGTTCTATTACTGACAAAGCTTGCGAAAACTAGTAGTGAACCGCTTATCATGTACGCGAAACTTAAGGCTCAGTAAGTTTTGCGTTCATCATATGCACATTTATTTTTAAGAATAACTTATGTTCTTCATAATTGTATATATTACTCATTTACATAAATGTGCGTGTTACAGTAGTTGTTCAGACAATATACTAGCATGGTTTTGTCTTATTAATCAATATAATTCAGCAACGAACCAAATTGATAAAATAAAATGGAGAAAAACAATATCCGAACATTTGTATTTTCGAATATCCATTGAGAGTGAATAGTTTAAAGGATTCTGACAAATAATTTGGATAAACTAACGGATCGCCTATGGAAAAAAAAAGGAAGTGTAAAGATTTTATCATTATTCTTTAAAACTTACATATTTAAAAACATTTTTGCAAACAAGTCTATCCTATTGAATAAACGCATGGGAGCATTGTAAGATGTATCGAAGCTTTAAGTGATCTTTTTATGGAATATAAATGCTCATGAGTGTTAAAGTACATAACAATAAAAGTAAATTCAACTTTCCCTCTCAAAAACCATAATATTCCTTTTAACTATCACTATGAATGAGTGAAATCAAAAATCCATATATACTGAAAGTTTCTCCAGTATTCGTCTCTCACTAAGAATCTCATGCAGTACTATTGCTCACCAATATATATATATATATATCAAATTGTACTGAATTCTAATAATGCTTTATCTTTCTAGATATCAGCATTCGCATCCTTCTTTGGCATTGGTTTTATAGAATGAAAACATATATAATCGAGTTCAACTTGTTCAACAATTATTCAGATGATGCATTTGATATTCTTTGTGGACGTATCTCAACATGGCTCTATGTAATACTTTTAACCACTATTATGACTATTATTATTATTTTTAAGACAAAAACATCACATTGGACAACCATAACTATTTATTCACCATCGAAAAAGCAATATGAAGATTTATATCAACAATATTCAAATACATTACAATGTCCTTGTACTGATATTTCAATTCCTTATGCAACATTTATTCAAGTCAAACCAAAACAACATCAATTGTGTGAAAGCAATTTTATTCAACCATGGTGGTATCAAAGTTTAAATTCAGTAGAAAATAATGATATGTCATTAAATTTTTCTATATTCATTTCATCCTATTTTCGAACATTAGCCATGTTATGTAACATAACAAAATCAACTCTTGATGATAAAATACGTCGATCTTCTTCAGCATTATTTATTAGTTCTCAACTTCCTTCAAAGCAATGGCTCATATTACAAACGAATCAATCTATTGAGATATTTCGATCTTCGATGTTAAACGAATTCAAAAATATTATATCATTAATCATAGGAATACTTGATGCTAATCAATATATTAGTGGTCGAAAAACAAATACGTTACTCAAAAAACTATTTTCGAATTCATCCAACCAAACAGAAATAGTTTCTATTACGAATGCTGGCTATGATGAAAATGATCTTCCATGTTTTTGTGCTCGAAATTCATTTTGTAATATGCAAACATACTATCAAGATTCAACATTATGGACAACATTTGGTTTATCTTTCAACTGCTTCATAGTCAATTCAGTACTGAAATCATCTCTCAAATGTTGGTATAACTATAGTTGCCTAAATGAAGTATTGACAAAGTTAACCTTTTCTAATTTGTTTAATCTCCCAAATATAACTGTACTCGATGATACATTGCCTAGTAGATTTCTTCCATATATTCCAATAGAAATTTTACTCAATGAAATGATGGTTGAACAATGGTATACGATAGTTAATTATATGGCTTTATATAAAAACTGTCATCCAATATATTGTACATATGTTTATGATGGCAAACACAATGCATTATATCTTATTACTATAATAATCGGTATTTTTGGTGGTCTCGATATTATTCTTCGATTTATTTGTTTGATTATTGGTCGATTATTATTTCGATGTAATAGGTCACGACATACACATAGTATATCGCTTCCAAACAATCCAGAAACACTTAATCGTAAGTAAAAAACAAAATGATAATTATTTTTGATCATAGGAAAGTTTTTTATGTAATTCCTGTTGAATAAAAATGACAAAAATGAAAAATTCACTGTACTCGTAAACGAAAATTCTATTCATGCTGAGCGTATTGCTCGTGAAGGCTAGATAGACAGAAATATCCATCTATCTATCATCTGTCTAGAGAAAAGATCAAGGAGCATATTTACTTGACTTGTTTACAATTACACTTCACGAATATATTTGACAATATTATCTTTAGAAATTAGAAATAAGTAAAAGTATACAATGCAAGTTGCATTTGTCGTTTTTTCGAAATATATTATGTTACCTTTACTTGGTGCACTATCAACAATTGATTAACCATGAATGTTTGATTTGACGGAATGATAAGTTTCTCCTGTAAAACAATGAAGTATTGAACTGCCTTTGAGAGAAGATAGATAGTATTTTGTTCAGTCCATCTTGCTTCTCTCTTTTTCACAACACATTCTAACATTGCTCGAATACTGATGATTGCTCACAAACAAATTTAGATTTCTTGGAACTATTTCGAATAGGATATGAATCCATTTAATGATATATTCTTTTTAAATGAAATAAAATAAATCAGCAAAGTAGTATAAGAAAACAAAGTAAAGATCTGCTCTTGAGACTATACAAAGTGGACTTTATAGTTAGCATTATTGGTTTCTTTTGAAAATCGGATTTCATCTTGTCCGAAAAAAAGAAGAAAATCGTGGATGACGAGGCCTCAATCGCTTCACTATATTATTCACATATATAATGTTTTTTTAAGATTTCTCATAAGATATATTAATATTGACTTCAATTTTTCATATTTGATTCTTCCGAATGACGTATAGATGCATGCAAAATAAAACATCATTGTACTAGATATTAAATCTAAACTTTTGATGATTAGTAGTTTATGCAAATTATTTGTACAATTTATTTTAGAAAATTATCAGAATCGTCTGATTTTCTACAATGTTTGGAATATTGTTCGACACGAAATGAAAACATATAACTTATTTAAAAGTGGATCAAATCAAATACATATTATCCGCCGTGAACGTTATTCAACAAGACTCTATTTATTTCTTTTATCTATCAGTATATTGATCATAATTATTTATACGATTTCATCGAAAGAAATTATTAATCAAACAATCGAAAGACCTAGTCAAGCAACATACGAAAAATTAATGGAATCATATGCCTCCAAATTGCAGTGTCCATGTTCACAGATATCGATGAGTTATGATCAAGTTATGACAATGAATGTTATATTTCATCAAGTTTGTTCAAGTGATTTCGTGACTGATCCGTGGCTTAATTTTTTGTTTAGCAACAGCTATTGGTTTGTTTATGAAAGAGCTGACATTCGCGTACGAGGCTCGGCATATTTCAATTTTCTATCAACATTGTGCAAGCTTGCAACATCAATTATTCAAAATGCTATTTGGCAGTTTCTTTCAGAACAATTTATAAATGTTAATTTGATACCCGAAAGTTTGTTCCACGTGCAGATGAATGTGGCTATTAACGAATTTCTTAGACTCAATCCTGCTCGATTAGCTCATATTTTAGAACTTTCACAAGGCATTGTACACGGGAATACTTTTGTATCCAGTTATTTATTGAATTGGCATTGGTCATTATATAATAATAATAGAAATCAAACCATGACTCGAGCACATGCCATAACATTGAATAATTCATGTTCGTGTGGAACACGAAGATATTGTGTTCAACCTGGAGGTATTTATTCCTCAACTATGAATAATTCATATTGGATGATGCCTGGACTCAATATAGGCTGTTCAGTTGTTGAAACATTGTTACGTTCAACACTCGAATGTTTGTACAATCAAACATGCATTGATCTGTTACAATTATATATTGGCAAAATTCCAACACTTTTCCCAAATATCATCAATTTAACAGCTATGGATCCTATGTTACCAAGCCGTTTTATGACGAACATTACGATTCATGATCTTGCCAATGAGCTCTTTATTGAGGAAGTTCAATATCAGACGTCCTATTTGGAATTCTATGAAAGATGTGCTCCAAACTATTGCTCGTACATATTCGAAAAACGGAGCAATTTTTTAATCATTATTTCACAAATTTTAGCTCTATGGGGTGGGCTCACTCTAAGCTTCGGATTTCTTGCTCCATGTATTGTTCAATTATTATTCAAAATCAATGTTTACCGTCAAAATAACAGAGTTAATATTGTCGCTTAATTCACCTTAATTGCTTGCTTAAAGTTTTATTGTTAATATGATTTTGAAACGTGACATGAAGTAGAGTGATGTCATAATCCCGTTACACCGGGTATCCACCATGAAACACGAAGAGTAACCGGGTATTCGAAAGAAGCGTATCCACTCATATCCAATTCTCACCACACGGCGGAGTAATCACTTCCTCTATTACTCCGCGGGTAATGACATCCATCAGAGCAATGGATACCTATATATGTTTAAAGTTGAGCGTTGTGAGTGGTTTTGGTGTATTACCCCGAGGATAATGACATACATCACAGCAATGGATAGCTATATATGTTTAAAGTTGAGCGTTTTGAGTGGTTTTGGTGTAACGACGTCATTTCCCCGGGGCAATACACCAAATCCACTCATATCGCTCAACTTTTAGCATGTATGGTTTATGTCAGGGGTAATGAAGTCATTACTCCTCTTCGTAAATTGTATATCATTGGAGTGAATTCACTTTATTACTTCTCGGGTATTTTGAGGGTTAGCTCTCGATACCCAGTGTAATGGTATTATGACATCTATGTTCTGCAAGGTGCGAAATCTGGTAGAGTTCATTCTAGAAGTTCAATCAGATGAGTAAACTTCCTAACAATTAATACTAAGGAGACACATAATATTATAAGATCTCATAAGCATATCGATATGATTCTATGCTAATCTTAAGCGAATACATAACCAAAAACAATTCGAATAACTAAACAAATTAGTCGATTCATATCCAAGTTAGAATAATATGTAAATAGATGAAAACTAACTGCAGATAGTGAAAGCCAATTGTTGCATGTTTTCTATTGAATAATCGGGAGTGAAAATGGGCAAGTTCGTTCAATACATGCTCAAGCTATGAAAAGCAGGTTCAAATAGTATGTATATGCCTTGACAGAAATCCGAAGGAAACAGATCGCATTGATCTATGGACTAACAATATCAGTGCGCAGAGTGTTAATTACTAAAGCGAAGTCAGAAGAGAATTGAATGAAATTAAACATAAATATTACAAAAATAACATGGTGATGGTGTGCTTTTTTCAACTTGTTCGATAAAGAAAGAAAATAGCAACCCACAATCACATAAGGGATAATCGATAACCCTTGCAATGTTTGAAAAATTTAAATAACCATTGGCTGTTTGTACACTCGATTGATAAGTATTTCTCCAGTAGATGCGCTGCTTGTCATATTGAGAACCATCTAACTCACATTTGTTGCCATTGTTTGATGTGGATGTGAGTGTGGGTGTGGGTCTTTTCTTTTTTACACTGACACCAACACCTGCACCCAACATCCTATAATAGTCTCTGTGTCAAAACTGCACGTACGCATGAAATTTCTTATTCTATAATTACATTGTTTTTCTATCTATTATATTATCAGCGGTTCGAGGATGTGGGTGTGGGTCGTCTCTTTATTCAAACCCACACACGCACACCCTATTTGTCTGAATCAAGTTAAATGCAGTACTGCATCATTGCTTTATGGAAAAAAAACGCTGAAAATGATCTTAAATAAATTTTTGAAAATTGTTAGGGCGTCGCCCAACCACTTAGTGTTTTCTGATGACGCCACTACACACACACGATTCCATATATCAGAGGTTCAAACAGGCTTACTTTTCGTAGACCTGGCTGTGTCTGTCTTTGATTTTCGTCGGTCTAGGCTGCCCGTTTCTGCCTGTGTACTTTTTTTTGCATACTAATATTAGGATAGTAATTGAGTGGAAATAGAAACTGTCTTTATAAAAAAAACAAGAAAGTTGCTGACATCAAAATAACATGAGTAAGCGAAAGATCTATTGATGTAACGAGGTATATAACTGTTAAATAAAGACAAAAAGGAAGGTATTAATATTTGAAAAAAAAAACTGTTTTTTGAGTAAAAATCTTTTTACTGAATTTGATGAACTAGTTGAAGAGAACTTATTATGTTCGGCCGCATTACGGCAATATAGATATGAATCAGGAACATAAGATCCGTAGACACTTTACGTTAAACCTTAATAACAACCAATTAAAAAATGCGATCAGTAACTTACTGAAACGGATAAATAAACTAAACAAATAAATGCATAATGGGCAATATAATTGTAATTTATCAATATTCCCGATTGCGCTGAGTCAAACTGATGCAAAAATCATTTCTTATCTTTCAGAGCAAAGATTCCCCATATTATATTTTGATATCTGCATCTTTTACTCAAAAAATGAAGTTTTTTATTGAAAATTTAGAAAAAAAACACGACAGCCAGGTGGCTTGCCTAGCCTGTGACGGACTCGACAATCAGAACCTGTGCCTGTTACAGACAGGCAGGCAGACTCAATGGCATGTTTGAATCTCTGGCATAAATGGTATGAGAGTGAGAATGTGATTAAAATACGGTAGTACTAAAGTTTGAATTTGAAGGAAATTTTTTGAATGTATTTAAAAATAAGAAGCCATTCGCGAAAGGCACAAAAAAGTTCAAAATACTTGATTAATATTCATTTAAAAACATTAACTCAAATGTTTAGCATTCAATGTAGCTTGTGTTACAACTTGGTTCAATGCTTTACCATTACTACTGATTTGGCGACAACATTGATTGTTTCCACAGCAATATGTTCCTAGTGGACAACAACCGTAGCCACAACATACAGGATATTCTGAAGAACAACAATCATTTTGAAAAGGTGCCGGACAACAGACTTTATGTGTAGAAGGACAACAGCCTTGTTTACTAGGATCAGATACTGGACAACAAACGGAACCTGGATATATATCTGAACAACAACTTCCAGACGAACATTCTCCATTAAATGTATCGTATGCATTGCATTCAGCTGCATGTGAATTATAGCCTGCCCACGCTGTATAACCTTGTTTTGTAAGAATAGTTGCAGCACATTTTGTATTTAAAATATTATTTGTTAATGCTTCTGAACAACTAAAATCACATCCACATTTACATGTACGCAGTGTTGAGTTTCTTCGACATTTCGGCGATGTTCCTGGACAACAACAATCATTTTGTTGTCCTGATGAACTACACCATAAATAACTGTTAATTTGAAATAAACCATTATCCGTACTATTATCTTGATTGTTATTCGGACCCATACGTGTACCCCAAGTACTTTCATAGTAGGCTATTGCTGTCATAATATTTATTTGGTTATTACTAAAACCAGCATTAATAAGCTCAACAACAGTTTTGCAACAATTTGTATTGCTTCCACATTTTGGAATTGATCCTGTTGATGACCAAACAATACTACAAAACAATATTGTCGTTATTGGAAAATTTAAATTAAGCAACATTTTCATATCACACACTGTCTAATTGTATATAATGTAATTGCAATAATAATGTAAATACGTCAGAACTAGAAATCAAAAATAAATGTTCCAATCATTATGCAGTCTATGAAAGGTGAAAATTGTGCTTGGGTTTTCTAGGTGAATATAATAGATTTCAAATCGAATATAACTTGAAAATTTCTTTCTTTACAAAACAAGCTTGTTCAAAATAATTTCTAAAGCTTAGTATTTTATGACAATCATATTACACAGTTTCACTTCATTTAGTCTGAAAAAACATCGAAAATTGATCCGATTCAGGTTACAAATGTAGAACTCTATTTAAACAATAAGAAACGAAATTTCTTTTATTTACTAACGCCTCTTAATATTGGTAAAATCGCAGTTAGGTATTTTAATTCTTGGCCACAATCTCTGATTTCTCCTTACAAGCCAATATATTCTTACCTGTATTGAATTTTTCATATTTGTGTAATACATTTCTCTATATATATATTGTTCGTACAATAAAAGCATTTTATATTATGTTCCTTATATGGAATTACTCTCTTTGTATTTACTTAGCTTAAGTAAGCTATTTTCAATAGCTTTCTTAGTCATATTTTTCGCAGTTTTCTTTTTCTATTGTTCGCAGTATTAGAAACGTAATTGAGATCATAAAAAATCAAAAGAAAGCGAAAACTGCGAAGAATATGAGTAAGGAAGTTATTGAGAATATTTTTCTTTGTCATATTTTTCGCAGTTTTTTTATATTCAGTTTTTTGTATTGTTCTCAGTATTAGTAATGCACTGAAGACCTTTGTTAGTCAAAAGAAAAAGAACTGCGAAGAATATAAGTTACGGAGCTATTGATAAAAGCTTTCTTAGTCATATTCTTCGCAGTTTTTTGTTTTGTTAGCAATATTATACTTCACTTGAGATCGTTGACAATCAAAAGAAAGAAAAAAAAGTGCGAAGAATATGAGTTAGGAAGCTATAGTCAATAGCTTCCTAATTCTTATTCTTCACAGTTTCTTTTTGTATTCAGTTTTGCAGTATTGCTTGCAGTATTAGTAATGCAATCGAGTTCCTTGATAGGCTTATTGCATGGAGCTGCTCGCACAAGATTATGCATGAAATGATGACCCACCATCATCCCACACCCACACACACCCGTATTATCTGTTAATAAATTTTATTCTATTATTAATTGTTAATTGATTATAACCTATTCGCAACTTTTAACCGATTTTAATTCATTCTCATAGTCGAATTAATTTTAATCTATTCATACCTTTTAACTGGTTCTAATCTATATTTACTGTTTAAATTGATTTTAATTCATCCTCACCTTTTAATTGATTTTTGATTACACCATTGAAGATATGTGCTTTTCTCGGTATTCGAACGTGAAATTCTAACTTTTTAATGATTTTTTTTGGGTTGCTCGTGTTTACAAACCACGAAGTTGCCACTAAGCTACACTCTCGTAACTAAAGTAAAGTTGGAACTGGTATATAAATTGTTTCAAACTAAGATAGTGCAATTACATCAGAAATCATTTTAAATCAATCATACCATTATTTAAGCCTTGTTTCACATAAGAATATTTTATAAGTATACACCTTTTTATAAATAATTCTGTCATTAAATGTAACGTGTAGGCTTTGCTATTAATAAAAGATTGATTAAAATTAAACAAAATATTTCAATCGATTTAAATTAATTCTATGGATATTTTCACTTTTTCCTATATAGGGCTTTGCATTTATGAAACACTTTTACGATTGCTATCCTCATGCATTGTATTCATATCGTGGCTGTCTTCTACTTACGAAAATAATCAGATTTATTGCATTACTAATTTCAAAAATCGATCAAACAGGAACTCATGTTTCTGATGAGCTCTCAATTGATTAAAATCGATTTGTAATGAAAATCGATTGTAATTGGAATAACCGTTAACAATCGACCAAAAATGTATCAATTCGGCTTTTGTCGATTGGGATTCCAATCGGCTAAAACAATTAAAACCCAATTTGGATTAAAGTCGAATATTACGTAAAACAAAATAAGTAACATAGATATATTGGATTTTTTTCAATAGATTTGAGGATTATATTTGATTTCAATCCGTGTATAGTGCAGAAAGTGGATGATTGAGAGATCAAATGAGATTTATCTATTGATAATCAAAACTAATCCCGATTTTCATAGGATTATACTTCACTGTGGTGAACGTAAAATTCCAAGACCAAAATAATGCTTAACACGTTTTGGGTGTGGGTGTTTTAGTCAATAGACACCCACAGCCACAGCCACACCCTACTAATGCTAATTTACTACCCGTACTTAGAACTATTTGATCAAAAAGAGAGTCACTTCTAAATGTTGTGGATAGTAATAGGCCCTTCGAGGGAAGCCTAATGTTTTCATTTTTGTATCATATCTTACTAAGTGGCACCATCATTTAAGAAGATGCTGCTTTCAGAGTGTCACACGAGGCATCTCGACTAGGAGTCAGAAAGTCTTACCTAATATGTTTAGAATCTTTTATTACACTTTAATAATTATGATTTATATAGACATGAATAACTAAAGATCCTGTAGCACCTTCAGTTATGGACATGCACTTTGTGTCGGTGTGTGTGCCGATATTCAGAATCATTCACCATTGTGTGAAATGCCGTTGTTTTGTTTGAAATAGATGATATATTCTCTCTACTAGACGGAAGAACTTTCACCAAACTGATATGTTTTTTTCATTCTGCTTGATATATACAATATTATGAGATAGTCTACCAAAAGTAGATAAGGAAGGTTTTTCTTCTAATGCTAATAATCATTTCTTTCAATTTAAATGATAGTAAAAAGTTTAGTACCAATCACACAAGAAAAATTTTTCTATCACACTATTTATTGAGTTTCTAAAAATTCTTCTAGAAACATTTTCAGGACGGTTTCAGTGGCATCTGCTATTATGGTGTGGTTATGGGTATTGATATGGGTGAAGCGAAGACTCACCGACGCCCACCCACACCCTACTTGCAATCAAAGCATCCACTTGGAGCGGTATTCGGCAATCACTGGTTGAAAGGGACTAACAGTTCAACAATGTTTTTATAGATTCTCATAGTGAAAAGAATTCTGTATCGAATAAGTGTATTTTCAACTAGTCTTGCATGGATAATAATGATCTTTTAGTTCAAAAACTATTTTTTTAGGCATTCTAAAAATACTCTAGATCTCTCTTATTTCTCGGCTAATTTGGAAAATGAATGGATATTCGTGATCACTACAAGCTGCTCTATAGATTTACAAAAATTATGAATGGAATGAATACAAAAAGAATTCACGAGTACCTGAGGGAGGTTCCGGCACACACAAAAATTGTAGAAAATGATCAGGATTCATCGGATGATTGAAAAATCAACATTATTTTCTATGGCATTGAAATTGATACATCTAGTTTGACGAGTGCGTTCTTATCAGGAATCAAAAATTAGATATTCATCGTGCACAAGAACATTGAATGTAAGGGTCGAGAAGTTGACACTGATCACTGAGGACATCCTGAACATACCTACTATACTTTGGCTGTTTAAAAGTTAAACTGACATATACAAGTCGAAACCAAACACAGCCATAGAGAACTTTTTTTTGCCATGATGTGCTCTGTCCTGGTAATGACTAACACGAAACTTTCACTCTGTTGTTGTTGTCAGCCCTGGAAAGGACGCAACAAAAACATATCAACTGTGGTCGACTATGAAATGGGTTCATAAACTAGCAAAAGATTTTGTCTACCATCGTATCTGTGTGTACATCATCGGTGTTTTATTGAACAAGTGAAAAGAAGAAGAAAAAAAAAAAGAACTTTTCGTTTTGAGAATAAAATCATGTGTCCAATACGTATCTGACAGCATGCATAGTTTAATAGCTGATAAATAACAATGTGAAGGGCTACATGAGCAACTTCGGCTATGGTTCACAGCATTATAGATAGTTTGAAGTCAAACTAATAGTTGCAATAAATTTTTATTCAGAGATATGAAGAGAAAGTGACACTCAACTGAGATACTATATTGGCTGGAAATAGCGTCTCAAAAAGATGTTTCATTACATAGTGAGGCTTTAATTGCATCGAGAATACCATAAAAAAAATTTTCTTGCTTGTTTATTCTTTAAAAACATCAGAAATAAAGTCTTCATTTCTTTAATTTTTTGGATCCTATCTAATTGAATGTGTTTTCAATCAAAGCACATTTACTAAACGATAGAACTCTCCTTATTGCATTATCTCTAGCAAAATAATGCTTTATTCATTTATTTTATTATTTTTTTCTTTTCTTTTCAAGATAAAAGATTCCTTTATCATTATTTAATGAAGATGAAAGAATCATTTATCTTTATAAAACAAAGATAAAAGAATTTTTATCTGTTTCTTTTATCGTTATTTTTTAAAGATAAATGCTTCATTTATCTTGGTTTTCTTAAGTAACACTAAAGAATCACCTCGAATTGTAGGTAATCTATTGAGTTTTGTTTTATCTTTATACAGCGATCACTTTGTTGCAAACTATTTGTTCTTTATTTTTTTGATAACTATTATTGTATAGCACATTTTATCTAGGCTATGTCGAGTCTTATCTCGTGAGCATTTCTAAATAGATTCATGTAGTGTTTAATATGATAAAAAAAATCTGTCAGAGCATTGAAGTGCATGAAACAGTATAAACACATCTATTTGTTCGCTCGGAAAAACTCTGAAAGCAAGTATACGTTCTTTTCTCTTCAGAGATATTCATGACGAGCGAACTTGTTGCTATTGTAGTAGTAAAGTAATTTATCTTTTTTACACTTTCAATTTATCCGTATCAAGTCCACACGGTCTTGAAATCTCGCGTTCATTTGTCTGCATAGTGAACAATGAGTAAAAACGAGACAACAAATGTGACAGAGTTGGTGAATATTCATCCATCATCATATCCAGTTCAATTTGGTATTCTACTCTCGCTGCAAATGCCAGCGGTATTGTGTTTTTTGTTCATTTTCTACAATCTCTGTTTCGTGCCTCGACATCGACTGCTCGTGCGTCGCATAGTCAATCATGTCTTATTGTGTCTTCTCGTGAATGATTTTTTAATTTGCACCACAGAACTTCCATTCACACTGGCACTCCTATATCGAGGAATTACTGCTTTCACTAATGATGTCTTTTGTCTCGTCTGGTTCTTCTATGGTTCTGCTACTTTTGCCGTTTCTCTCTTCCTACTGGCATGGATCTCTGTGGAACGATATTTGCTTGTGTTCAACGAAGCTTTTTTCAAACGTCATCTTCTGATTACTCATTATCTGACACTTCTGTTCTGCATCGTCTATCCAATTATGTTTTATGTCGGTGTACTATTCATTTACAAATGTTCAAATGAATTCAACTACGAAGAATGGGGATGTGCATCAGGCTGCTACCAAAGTAACTCTATTCTTGGTACATACGACTGGGTTGTAAATATGATCATACCAGCTGTGATTGTTATTCTTATGAATGGACTTCTCTTCGGACGAGTTGTCTATCAAAAGTGTCAAATGAGACAAACGCGTATACTGAACAAAAATAAGAAGATAATTCTTCAGCTCTTGCTATGCACATGTGTCTATTTATCTACATGGTTTCCATACACTATTCTCGGCATCATGCTTATCTTCATTCCAGACAATGAAATGATAAACAATCTCTACCAGTATATTTTTAACTATGCTGTCTATCTGACACCACTTATTTCCCCTTTTCTCTCCCTGATCACACTGTCTGATCTGCATAAGAAGTTCTGGGCAGCAAACAAACCGCAAACCATTCAAACCATGATACCGCTACAGACAGTTGCAACAGCTCGTTATCGTTGAATAGACTCCTGACAAGGATGAATCTTGTCAATATGTTTAAACAATTATTGATTGTAAAAGCAGTAAACACTGACACTCGAAAATCGAGAAATCATGCCCATACGCTTCTTTTCCTCTTGTTTATGTCACAAAATGTTGCTGAAATAATTAATAAAGTCTCAGTGATCAGATTAATCTGTAGATGTGTGTGTGTGAAGTGCTGTACATCTCTTTTATCCCTACAGCAGCCATACACCAATTATATCCACATTCACATCCATACCCTCCCACCCTTGTTATAAAGAACTAAAGCAATAATGTCTATCTGATCAGACGCGATTATTGCGATTTGCGTCAGATCAACTTTCATAAATTTTGGAATTTGAATAGAGATCAAAGAACTACCAAGACTTATTTTTTCGAAATTTATTTTTTCTATGAGATTTATTTATATGTTGAGTATTTATAAGAATTTATTAATTATATGATATTTCAGCTCACCCATACTCCAGGTATGCATTGATGTACTGAGTAATTGTATGGAATTTATTTCAAAATGCATAGAGGCTTATTCAAAAATCCCAAAAAAAAGTCCTGGAAGCTGCTGGATTTATGATGAAAGTAGAGCCCATGAAAATAGAATATTCTATAGGTAAATTTTATATCCGATTTGTGAACTTCGCTGAATTGTTTCGTTCTACTTAGTACAATATTATAATCATTATTTTAGATGTAAATAATTACATCCATAGTAAGCAGAGCTGGGAAAAGGCAACAGAGAAAAATGCTAGACGAAGAGAACGATGATTTAATTTGTTGTTTCTTCAAGTTTTATTCAACATAGTTGAGATCGAACATATATGCTTGTAAACATTAGAATAAAAATAATTGTATTGCAGATCAAATTTGTGTCATCTAAGATTGCAAAACAAAGCTTGTCAATTGAGTTTAACGAAGAAATGACAAACGCAAATGAAACTGAAGATATCTCAACGATCTCGTGAAACTGATACTTTAGCAGATCAGTCATATGTAGATTTTCTACGGTATTCAAAGAAAAACAATCGATGAAGTTCCTATTATTATTGGTATTGTATTGCTATCAAGTCATTTGATTATTAGAAATATTTTTTTCAATAACATTCTTAATTATAAAAGAGCTCAATATATGCTTCAAGAAAATGTGTTTTAATTTTTCTGTAATAAAGTACACCAGTCTACAGACAACATGTCATCTAATAGATGAATTCATAGAGATGGTTCTTTTCGAAGTCTGGATGTAAATTTTCTCTAATCATACCCACACAAAAAAGCAGATTTCCTAGGGTCTCAGTATTATGAATATGTTCAAAATTGAAACAAATATATTTTTTAAAAGAAAAAGCCTTACTTCGAAAGTCTACTTTTTTCAACACTTTATTGAAAGTTTTTTTCCATAAATAAAAAAAAATAGTGTAAAAATACCGTATAAAATAATGAGGCGCATCGATGTAGTAAAGTTGCAAAGTATTGAGTTCCTATTTTTTTTTTCTATTGCACAATTTCGTATGAGAGGAACAGTCAACAACAAAAGACAAATGATAGAAACAGATGACCGTAAAAAGAATTCGATTCTATGCGAATACGAAAGTGGTGACTTGAACTTGTGGGTGATGCAACAAATGATTTCATTTCAAGCAACAAAAGTGTGATGTTTTTACCTGGTTTGCAAAATTCATTCCTTCGTCAAGTAAGAGAATTGCGACAGACGCATGCAAAAAATCGTCTCTGTTCTTTTTCTTTTCTTAACCTTTCCTATACAACGATGTTGTCACAAACAAATACTAACAAAGGTGCAAGATGCTTGAAATTACTGATGCAATATCATCTTGCATCAGCTATCTATTCAGGGATAATATTAAAAAGAATTGCTGTATTTAGAAAATCATTCATTCGTTGTTTTTCATTATCATTAAAATTTATCCAATGCAAGAAATTATTTCTTATGAGACATTCTATACGAACGATAAGATATCCGACGAACTGTACGCTCTGGTATGTGACGGTTTAGCAGATCAACTTGATCACCGACTAAACAATCTGTCGAATCGAATCGAATATGTAACCTCTGTGAGTTGGTATGGTCAAGAGCAGCTGAGTTTACTGATGGTAGCCGCTCTATATGGATACGAAAATATTGTTCGTATTTTATTTAAACATTGTGAACCAGAATATCAAGTAGAACTCGAAGGTATCATGTACCTGGATGATCAGACGACTCTCGAAGGTATCACTGCTCTCTATTGTGCTTGTTATCGAGCACATTTTACCGTTGCTCGACTATTGATCGATGCTGGTGGAGCTAATGTCAATCATGGTACTCTGAATGAACCTTATCATCCTCTATTGATTTACGCTACTCGAATAAATCGTCTTGATATTGTTCAATTTCTTATCGAAAATGGTTATGTTGATGTGAATGAAACTAGATCAACTACTCGCGCAAAATCGACCGCATTGGTATGGGCCATACGACAAAATCATCTATCAGTTGTCAAATATTTGCTTGAAAAAGGTGCCAATGTTGACTACTATTGCACCACAAACTTTTCAAGCAAATTTACAACACCATTGATATTAGCTGTTCACGACGGCAATTTAGAATTAGTTCGAATATTGTGCACTGCTGGTGCAGACACAACTGTTAAGAACAAAGCCGGTGATACTCTACTTGCTATTGCTGTCAAAAAAGAACATTGGTCAATTATTCATTTTCTACTAGAACAATCTATCATCAACATCGATGATGTTGAGCTTGCTATTTTATTCCTAATTGAAAGTCGACTTTTTCCTATCGATGAGAATAAATTGTACAAACATTTATATTTTGCTCTTCAACAACGTCTAGCAATACAAAGTCCAAAAGTTTGTCGCCAACCATTGGCTATCTATAACTATTATCAAGAATGTCAAACTATAGAAGAACTAAATTCGATTAAAACTGATTCCAATCGAATATGGATCGAAGTATTACTGGTTTTAGAACGTATTCTTCTTCCTCGCAAGGATCCAAAACTAGCAAAAGCATTGAATGGCTATAGTCACTATCTTTTAACCAAAAATGAATTTGATAAATGCCTCGCCTTATGGATTCATAGTTTTTCTGTTTGCAAACAAATGCAGCATACAATGAATCTTTATCCCTTCGTTCGGCTCTTTTGCAAGATGATTACAGCAGAAAAACCTATACCGATCGATCGATTCATTGAAGTTTGTCACTGCACCTTTGACTCGACCCAAACCACTAGTCGTGAACCAATGATTTACAATCAATTATGTTTCGTTGTTATCACAGCAAAAGTACATCATTTTTTCGCATGTACTTGATTTTTCTCTTACTAGTCTACTGATACTATTACTTTAGATCTTCGAACAACAACCACTGACGAGTGCAGAACAAACAGTTCTCTGCAATTGGATTAGTCGTCTGTGTCAACAATGGCAAATGCCTTCAGATCGACAAACAATAGTTCATCTATGTATTAGTGGCAACAATTATGGACTTTCTTATCGGCATAGTTCAAATACTGCACGTTATCTCAGGTATGCAGACGTAGCATTGGATCACGTTGTTTCTCATTAAATGATCTTTATTTTCGAAAAATGATTGCAAATAATTTCTAGAAATGAATAATATGATGTTATTTCTTTGTTTTTGGTTATTCATAGATTTCCTAATGAATCTGCACTTCGACTGGTACTCGCTTGTGGACATCGTTGGCTCGATTTGGATGCTGTCGAATCCATAATGAACAATACAGCTCTTCATTTGTTATGTCATCAGTCAGAGAATCAAACAATGATCAAATTACTTTTAAATGCTGGTGCTCATATTGATTGTATGAATCGTTATGGACTTACACCATTGATGTATGCAACTAGTCAAGACACCAAAGCGTTTCTCAAGTCGAAATCAACTCCAACACGTCTCAAATGTTTATGTGCTTCTATGATAGCTAGGCAACGATTGAATACAAGTGATCTTGGACCAGCAACATCGAAATTGAACATATTCATTTCACTACACGGCTGTTCAGTGACCAAATCTGATTGTAAATGAAAATAGATATATTTGATAAAGTGAAGTAGTTTTCTTGTAGTATACGAATATAATTTATAATAAAATATACTGTGTACATTGTCATTACCTAGTGTAACCTTACTTGATATCGAAATAGCTTGACAAAGACATGTTTAGTTTATCTGAAATTTTTAGCATTTCTTAAAATAACTATTAGATTTTTATATAAAGACGGAATTTACAATAAACATTATTTATAAGTTTTTTTTCAACTTTTAAGCATTTTGTGAGTTTCACGGCGATCTTTTCATACTCATAATATCAAAGTGAATGACATCAGACAACTAGGCTTGTATTTCTTGATCAGTCACTGAAGAGAAAGTTGGATTCTGAAAGCTTAGTAGATAACTACATGTGTAAACGCAAAATTCAAAATAGATGTATCTCACATAAAAAAAACTCGACTGAATGCGATCGATGGCAACTCTAAGAATAACAGTGAGATGAGATTTTATTAGAAACTGCGTTGACAATGATTGTCAATACACTGATGAATGCACTAATGGTAGAACAGTGGCTAATTATGTCTTCTGTATTAGCCTACTGTAACTAAACACGTCCTTACTTATTTAATTTTCGTCAAAAACAATTCAGTTCCTATTTCTTCGGGATGGGTCAAAAAGTGTTTAAGTATGGGAATACTTAGAATCATCTAATCAATTTCAAATTAGCTTTGTTTTTTCAACAGAAGTTTTATTAGATCATCAATGAATATTGCTAATATTTTTTGCTACAGTTTAGAACGAAGTTTATTAAGATATACTTCATAGGTGAGACACTCGGGATGATTAGAAGGAAAAGTATGCATGGCAATATCATATGCTTGTTGTCCATATTTGATTGCATCGATGTACTGAAGAAGTCCGTCATAAGCTAGAGCGATGTTATAATGTGTAATTGCTAGAGAAGGATGATTGGGAGGAACTGATTTTCGTTGGATTGTGAGGCCTTTGTTGAAATAGTCGAGTGCTTGTGACCAATCGTGTCTGTCAAGACAAACAACTCCCATATTAGAGTAGAGTGCACCAATTTGAGGATGAGTTGGTGGAAGACTTTTGAGTTGAAGCTCTAGACATCGGTTGTAGTTCTCTAGAGCTTCTTCGAAACGGCCAAGTCTTAGGAGAACACCTCCAATATTATTGTAACTGACTGATGCAGATTGTTGATCCAATTCAGGAGCTCCAAGGTCGATTTCTAGCGCTTTTTGATAATATTCCAACGCACGATCCAATTCATGTTTGTCTTCGTATATCATTCCAATATTAGAATAAGTCGGTCCAAGTTGTGGATGATTAGGTGGCAAATATTTCAGCTCGAGATCAAGCGATTTCTGGTAATGAGATAGAGCATCGTCAAGATTACCTTGTCCAGTATAGACAACACCTAGTTGATGGCGTAAGAAAGCAAGTCCTTTTTTATCATCAATGGGTGACGATAAGATCAATAGTTCATAGATTTCCTGTGCTCTATCGTACTCTCCCATTCTTGCTGTTAACTGACCGAGTTTATGTAAACTTGTTCCTCCTTCAAGTTCTTCTCGCATGTGTTCAGTAAGAAGTGCAAGATTCTGATCGACTTCGGCACTTGTTAATTTTAAATGTACTTCCCATATTTCAGGCTGATTAGTTTGTTGTTGAATACTTTGAATTCGAAATACAGTATGCATTGAGAAGAGAATCTCGTCCTCTTCTTCCATGTAACTCAAACCATTGAGAGATGCAAATGGACTTGATCGAATTTCAGAACAAATATTCATTTTAAACAAAATAGCCTTCGTTTCAGAATTGCCCAATTGTCCCTCGGCGAAACCTTGAGCCAGTAATCTGTCCGGTGTTGTTGATAAGAAACTATTGAATGATATAAGACCACTTGGACTACTTTTTATTTTAATAAATTCCTTGTTCGATACACTGAAGAAAATAACATATCATCAAGTCGTTTTTGTAAAGAAATGCTAGCTTACCTTTGACCTCGATAAACAACTAATGTGTCAGCATTGGTGACTGCCAGTGAATGAATCTGTTCCAGTTGTTGATGAAGATCTTTAATGAAAAAGCCCATCTTAAAAAGAGTCTCAGTGTCGTGTTCTCGTAAAGCTTGATTTAACATTGGATAAATTAAAGACTCTCGTGTATACCACCATACAGGGCTATGTTTTTCATAGTTTTGTTCGAATTCATCAATGAAATATAATGCAAATCGATTGTCAGCATATTTGATGCGACAAAAATTAACAAATTGTTCTTTTGCTTGTTTGCCAAAGTCCATTTTGATCAAGATATCTTTGAGTAAGTACGAATACATAAACATGGCATTGAGTTCGTTTAAATTTTCCTCTTCCAGTGATCCTAATGTTGTTTCACCATCATGAAAATTAATTGCACTTAGATTTGCATTGTCGATTCGATTTATATCTCGTTGGATACGATCACACAGTGGATTGATTTCGAAAAAGACACGTTTAAATTTGTGATATTTCGGCAACCAACGAAGTTCAGCAGTTTTTGCCATACTTTTAGAACAGAAAACGTAGATCGAATCAAGTTGTGGTAAATCATGAAGAAGAGGAATAATGTATGTGCTGAAAATGGCAGAGATGATAAGAAAAACTTTTTGCTTTTCTATATTGGTAACAAAATCAGCAAATGCATTGGGTTCATTGAATGTTTGAACGGCGCTGGCAATATAATGAAGATGAGAGACCAACTCTTCTTGATCATTTTCGCTATGCTCATGAAGCCAGACAACAACACAGTTCTCGACGACTCTGTCATGTTTGTGATTTGATAGAGAAATAGACTGCATCAGTGAATCTTAAAATGGATACAAATTATGTTTTTTGTCTTTCAGTTTAAATAGTTTTTCTCTTATCCGTACCTAAGTTTCTACTATGATTGAGTTGCGACATGTTTTAACATCGTTGATGAAAGTTAATATCGAACGACCATTATCTCTCTTATGTGTTATCAAAGTTGGCTTACCTGTTTCACATGTTAGATGAAAAATAAAGCGACCATAATTACTTCTTTTATTGTTTCAGGATAAAAACAAAGCAAAAACAACTGTTATCTTTCAGTTTTATGGCTTTACAAACTTGTAAGAAGCAATGACAGCAGAGATTCGGTATTGTAAAGCAAGTTTAGTCTTCAATTGTGTTGATATGAGTTGAACGGCAAAATTCACAGCACTACTCTTGTCGAACACTTTTAAGACTGTTGTAGAATCTCATTGGAACTAAGCGAGAGTCTTTTGATCGTAGCCGTTATACGACAAATTCCCGTAATGAGATTTGAGAAGAATGGTAAGTGGTATATAAATACTACTGACATACGCCAGCAAGATGAATGCGAAGATATGATATCGAAGAAAATCGATGATAGAATGAAGAGAAGCGAACTAACAAGCAAGTAAATGAGCAAACTATGATATGAGTTAGAGAAGAAAGACGGACGCCAGAAAAAAAAGAGGTGAAGAGATTCAATGTGTCAGTTGCATAAGGTTTAATATTAGGTTTACATAATAGATTGATGATAGACTACATTGGCAGCCAGTTCTACTACCATTTATCGAATTGTTTTTTTTTCGAATTCAAATCAATTTGGAAGTCTGAAGCTTAAATGCGCGCGTTTTTTTTTCTAGCAAGCACTTTTGATTGTCGTCAGTCATGTTGGTAAGTGTGAATGCGTTAATTTGAACGAAGAGGAAATACTGAAATCCTCTCATAATTACAATTACATCCAAAATGCAACTATATGGGAATGACTGACTAAGCCCATATTACAAAATAGGCTTGAAGGTGAATTATTTTGAATTACTTTACGCATCTCTGTTTACATCAATTCACACCTTTAATCACATCTTCACGTTGTTAGATTGCTCTAATATATTCATAGAAGATGGCCTTCATTTTCTTGCAGTCAGATAAAGATGTGACTGAACATGTTTTTAAATCTCTGATGCAAAAAGAATCTTGCTTCAATGATGTTCAATGTTATTTATTCAAGAATAGAAATAATAATATTTACTGCAATAAGTATAGCACTATCCCTTGTTGATTCTTTCATTATAATCAAAACCCATAAATAACCACCGAACAGAATGACTGGTAATCCGAATAAAAATAGACAGCCACTACAATAGTTTGACCTATTCGAATTCTGTCGATTTTGTGACATTGCCTTTATTTCATCATAACTGCATCCATAACTACAAATACCAATAGTACACTTTGTATGTATCAGAACAACTATCGTCCATGCAACACCAAGAAGTGGGAAAAGAATTGCAAATACGACCGTTTCTATGGCATAAACTTCCGCTTTTGAACGATATTTCAAGCAGATACGCGAATAATCAAATAAGAATATATAATAGGTTGAAGCTGTTATTGTTTCTTTGGACCAGAGTTTTTTCAAAAATTTTACCAGCAATCCAACGGCATTTGTGATTAGAATTCTTTGCATTATAGTGATTCGGATGTATTTTAGAAATATTACAGATGTTCCTTAATGCCAGATATATATCCAATAGCGTCAAAACGATGACCAGTACGATGTTCAACCAAAACAATGTTAAAATATTAATCAAAGCTTGGTTTGGAAAAATACCTGATTTGACTATTACCTGAAGATAGATTTCAGTAACGTCGAAAGAAAATGCAGATCCTGATGGGCAATCGCTAATAGATCAGTTTTCTTTTACAATGTAGTACTGGTATCCAGTCTTCAACAGTGTATAATTATCTCGTTGTTCATATTCTTTATATTGTATGATGTCTCTTGTTAATAGGTAAACTGTCAGACTCACCGTCAATATCAACGGGATTATTCTTATTCCTTTATATGCTGTTGGATGTTTTTTTCTCCATTTATTAAACCTCTCAATAATACTTATCATTGTTTGAACCACTTATATTACTCTGATTTTATTCCATAACGTAATCTAAAAGTTAACAAATATGACTAGCATCATTTGAATACTTGACAATGACAGTAATTAGAACCGGTAGTAGATAGTAAATACAATCGAGCGTGAAAAACAATGAAGCATGGCTCTAGCAATTGTAAAACATGTACCTAATCAAATAATTGAGAAATAAATTTTGATCTGATTATATAAATTTATTCTTTTTGAAGATGTATTCATGTCGAGATGAAATTTTCAATAAATGCGAAAAGACTTTAGATGTATTGCAATTGTTTTTCTTGGTCTGCCGAATGTTACTTAAGAGAAATGAACATATTCTCTGTTTGTGACGGAATTCTCTAAGGAAAATGATGCGAACAGAGTAAAATAGAAATCCATAATATTGCAATAATGATTTTTAAACGCAAAAAAGTAATATTTACTTGACATTCAAGTTGCATAACTTTAGCTAATTAATTCGAAACTTAAAAGTACAGTAAACTAAGTAATATTCGAAGTGCAAGTTCGTCTTACTGTATAGCTTGTCTTTAAGAGCCTTTGTAGTTCAAAGAATGGCACGTGTTTTTTTTGCTGAATTCAAATGTTGAAACGGAGACTCGTTATTAAAAGAATTGGTTTATTCTCACTAGAACAAAAAATAATAGTTAAATGAGAATATTTCTTTTTATATCAATATATATAGTATTGAATTGGATTTATCCAACATCTGAATAAAAAAAAATTATTCATCAAAGATAAGGAAAGAAAAATTGGAAATTTCCAACATGTGATACCACACTTTGAACAATATCTTTATACTAACATTGCGAATACCAGCTTCGGATGTGGATGTCAATCTGGGTGAAACGAAGATTTATATTCATACTGATCGACATCCACATCCTTAGTAAATGTTTTCAAGCAAATCGATTGTGCATAATTAAGCATGGCTCAAATACTTGCTGGAACAAAAATTTGATCAAATCTTTTTCGTAAAATTTTATTAGCCAAAAGCATTGCTTTGGATATGCCCGAAGTATGTGGTATTTCAAAAAAGTTTATATGACTTTTTTTCATGATTTGTTATTCTTATTTTATTAATTATAATACAATTACATCTGCTTTAATTGTCTGTATTAATGAATGAAGTTTCATAACAAGTAAAATTGCTATTATTTGTATGAGACAAGATTGGCAATTCATAGGAATGGTTTTATAATAGAAATTATTTTAGTTTATTCTTTTTCTAGGGAATCTTTTCTAAGTTTTTATTGAATTCGTTTTTGGCGATATATTTGCATCTCTCTATATAATATGTTATCTTTAGTCACCGAATATATTATTTTTCAAGGAAATAAATAACAAACAACATGAATTAATTTCTTCATTAAAAATAATTTTACATAATGCAACTTTTGTCATAGGTTCGTTGTTTCCTACATACACTTCATAATATATTTATGGATGTATATCAGAACGTTTTCATAATATTACAGTATTGATGATAATATTATATGTTTTTCTTGATGTAATAACATTATTGAAGTATGTGCAAACAAAAGATAAAATTATCGCAAAAATATCAGTTCTGTATGCAAAAACTACTGTAAAATGGAGTGTATTATATAAAAGAAACGAACGTCTGATTAAGTATTATTATTTTTTTCGTAACACTATATTTACATTTGATTTTTTACTACATCATAAATTCTGAGTTGATCTTTGGATGAAAGAAATTGGTAGTATCTCAACACATTTAATCTGAATCGAATCTCAAACAGGATAAGTGTAATTATGTCATCAATAAAATTTGTATATTCAAGTATATTTAAAACAATGCACAACATACAATAAGTGGATGTGATACAGGTCGATTCAACAAGTTAACATAAATCAAAATGAAATTTATGATTGAAAACAAGCATAAGGTTTCTTTTTTATGTCAAGTAAAACTCAATGATCCTTTCAGAACAGAAAAAGAAGCTAGGTTTCAATGTTTTAATAAGTTTTTTAAAGACAGTTGATAATCGACAAGTTTTCTTAAAGGAACATTGATTACGACCACGTAAATCCACAACAGCTAGTTCCAAGTGGGACAAGTTTAAAATTGATGGAATATGCGAACAGTATAGTAGGCAGAAAGCTTCTAAACTTTTTTCTCTGACTTTCAGTCAACTTTTCACTTTTTCCCACAGAAAATGACTAATAATAAATAGGTAATATTTCGTTTCATATTTGCCTGCTTGATTTGGCAAAATGTACGAGTATGAAATTAGGTAGATCTCATTCAGTTGTATTTGATTAACAATAAATCATGGATGTCTAACGTTTTCGGATTAATCGATTCATTAAATGCTCAAATCGAATTTTAACCTTTCTTATATTTTTCCTTAATTTCTGTTTTCTTGCTTCAGTGTGGCTACGAATGTAAACAAAAGAGAAAGAAAATGCTTTGTCTTTACTATACTTTTTTAGCTTAGATGTATTTATTGCTTTCCAAACAAGTAGATCATTCAATCAGTTGCAAATCATAGATGCATCTTTGTCACGAGTCGCCTAACATAATTCATGTCACGTTATTCATCTTCACTTGCACAATTTCATAA